GTCAAATTTTTTTAAAACTGATTAATCATCAGGTAAAAAAATTTAATAATCAATTAATCGATTAGAGGCTCTATCGTATTTGAACCGTCTTTGGCCCCCATAAGGCCCATCGGTCCTCAGAAGGTTGGTGAATGAATCAGACAACGTCCTCAATAAGACACATAAACAAGTACAAGCACACACACACAAAGCCTATGACTGTCTTCAGAAGGACTTTGCCTGAACTTCCACTCATTTTGCATCCATCAGACAGGAACTAATGGATGCAGCTCTGTCCAGGGATTGGGCCCCATAAGACCCAGCTGGTCCTCATACAGTGACAAATGCTGACAGACACACACACCAGAGCCAACAAGGAGAAAGTGAAGCGGAGCTGGAGGTCAGAAGGTCATGAGGCGGCGATAAGATCAGGAATGAGTTCTGGTAGCAGGACGGGGTAAAAGGGCAAGGGCAGTAAGAGGAGGGGGGTAAATTACAGGGTAGGAGGGCAGAGGAAGGAGAGCGGGAAGCAAACCACAGAGATAATAGGAGAAATGCTGAAGGCAGCAGTAATTATGGAGGAAGAGATCGTGCTTTAATTAGACCAGGATGGAGAACATGACACACACACACACACACACGCACACACACACACGCACACGCACACTCGCACACACACACACACGCACACACACACGCACACACACACACACACGCCTATATGAAGCATTACATAATTCATTTCCTCCCAGTGTTTCTGCTTGTGGCATTTCATAATGAGACTGAAGAACGTGTGAGTTCATCTGCTCTTCATCACACTCCTCTTCCTCAGGTCCGCAGCGCTTTGCTCTTCTCTCTGATTTGATGACATCATCGGAGGATTAGAACCGGCAGCTTTTCGTCCTGAGGAAACGCGGAGCAGGAAGTTCAGACGGCAGGAAGAGGAAGAGGAAGATGAGTTTCAGAGTTTCACACCGCGAGGCGGCAGAGGAGGAAGAACCGTCAGAACCGTCAGAACCATCAGAACCAAAAGCTTGATGATGTTATACAGAAAAGGTTTAAGTCCGACATTCAGTTGGAAGATTCTGTTGAAGAGTTCTGCTGAAGTGTGAGCGGATCACAACGCCACCTACAGCTGCAGTTCCTCTGGGTCAGTCCGTCCCAGACCGACTGACCCAGAACCAAGTTTTTATAGCGATTGGATTCATTCTGTCTGCGCTTACTTCCTGACCCGTTCAGTACCAAGGTTCTGTTCGGATTAAAGCGCCAGTCGACTCCGAGACACTCAGAGCATCTCACACTCAGACAAACAAACAAACAAAAACAAAAACAAAAACAGCGAGGAGTAAATAAGAAGCAGCTCAACAGAGAGAGAGACGCAGCAGGATTAGTTTGTTCTTCTGCTCTGCCCTGATTGGCTGCTTTGCAGTCATTGTTTCTCAGAACCAAACAGACAAACACACCGATCTGTTACTACAGAACACACATCTGCACTGTGTGTGTGTGTGTGTGTGTGTGTGTGTGTGTGTGTGTAAGAAGTCCCAGCACAATTGCTCAGTTTAGTAGAGCATTACAGCTGATCAATAGCTGTGGTGCAGAGGGAGATGTTGGCGCTGCGGCTAAACATGCACTGAGAGTGCAAGAGAGAGAGAGAGAGAGAGAGAGTGTGTGTGTGTGTGTGGACCTTCGTCATCATCATCATCATCATCCCTCTCAGTGGAGTGATCTGATGACATCACTAGCCACGTTTCCTCTTCCTCACTATCAGAACAGAAACAGAAGTGCAGCCGAAGGCCGCAGGACTGAAGAAGAGCTTCAGTGTTTTAGATCTAGAGGACAGAACAGAACGAGAACATGACACTGGAAGCCAAACCTCCGACCCGGTCCAAACCACCGTCCGGTCCAAACCACCGTCCGGTCCAAACACCAGATGACATTTCCAAACAAGCTAAACTGAATTATTAGAAAAGTTCTTGTTTCTCCTTCAGGTTTGAACAAAAACTTTATTTTCTCGTCACATTCGAGGCCGAGATGAAAACTGTAGGAAATGTTGAGATTTCTGTAAAGTTTCTGGCAGCTTCAGGTTTGAGAGGAGCTTCATTTCTCCACATTCTAACAATATTATTCCATATTTATCATAAAACAGGAGGAACATAGAAATGTGTCAGCAGATCGAATCTCTGCGTCTGCAGCCAATCGGACCTCCTGTCATCAGAACCTCTTGGTTCTGTCTGCCTGTTGAACATCAGCTTTGGTTCTGGTTTCCTGTCAGAATGAATCTGTTGCTCTATCAGCGGGTCTGAAGCCGACGGGTTCAGATGTTTCTCTGGAAGCTGCCGTTTCTCTCCGCTTGTCAGTAAATGCGATTAGAGGCGCAGCAGGAACAACCATTTAACCGCCTCCAGTCTTTCATTTCACTCATTTAATCACAATGTTTACAGAAACAATGAGCTCATCGGATCCGCCGCCTCAGACTCCAGCGCTGCAACTTCCTGTCCGCAGCGTCTCCAACGGTCACTTCCTTTCTAATGACTTTAGTATTTCTCTAAAATGTAACCAGCAGGACCTTCTGGACTGAACGGGTCTCTAGTCGCTGCCAGGGAGGGTCGTCCCGATCGGCACTCAAACGATTAATCGTGATTAATCGATCAGAAGAGGCTGAGCCGTCGGCCTTCAGGTTCTCCTTCATTCTGTTCAAGGTGTTCGGTGGAACCAAAACATGAACCAATCAATCAGATTAATTTTGATTAATCAAATATATAATCCTCAACTAATTTAAAAATGATTCATCTCTACCTGGAGTGAACAGACTCAAAAAGGTCATTTGCTCAAACAACACAGTCAGAGCAGCAGTGAAACCAAAACTGCAGAAAAATATAAACATTTTAAATTTAAGATAAATAAAATCTCCTGTTAATTTGTTAATCCATCCAGGACTTTTACAGCGAGTTTTACTTTCTGTCAAAGTCTTTCACTGAGCACTTTAGCACCAAGTTATCAATTTATTAATACAAAAATCTGCCTGTTATCCCTATAATGTGTTTTAGCTGCAGATACAACAAATCAATCAAAACATTTTACCAAAATGGCCGGACTGTGTATCCACAGGCAGAAGAAAGACAGAAACATTTTCTGCCTCAAACAAGCAGCTAAACGGATGAATCCCCAGTAAAATGACAAACTAAAACCGAACCCTTTCCAGTCATACAGAATCACAGCGACATGTTTCAAAGAGACAAAAAACAAAAACCAGCTCATTTCACAAAGCCAAAACCATGAACTCAGTCCTTGGCTGGTTTTGCTCAGAATCCACGTTGGAGGAAATATTTCCTACAGGTCCGTCATTCTTTCCCCACAACGTTTCTGTCTCATTGGAAACCCAGTGGAAAAGTTTCCCTTTTCTCGCTTCCGCTTCTTCTGCGTTTTATTGGCGGTTGGCAAACCAACGTAAGGTGCATCTACCGCCACCTACTGGACCGATGTTGGATGTGTCAGTCACCCAAATCGACCAATGAGCTGCAGAGAAAAAGTCCCGCCTGTTTCACACAGGAGAGGATTTCTGAGCTGTACTTTGACTCTCCTCTTGTTTCAAAAACCATTATTAGTTGTAACGAACATTTATAGCAAGAAATCAGTTGGTGGAAAAAAGTGAAGGAAAAAACAAAAAAGGATATTTAGAATTGCAATAAATAGATATTTGGAATATTCATCTGGACTTTAATCAACCAAAACTTTTCCAAAATGTTGATGTCTTATTTATTCTGGGGATGAAGTTTAGTAAATGCTCAGCGTCGGTCCAGTAAATTGCTGGAGGTTCTGGAAGGCAACTGAAAACTTTCAAATGAAATCCACAACATAAAATGTATTTTATCAGAAAAAAATATTTTTTGCTATATTTTTTCAGAGTCATATTTATTTGTCTCGGACTAATCGGACTCGTTTCTTTATTTTGGTACCAGAACCGTTTATTTACTGGATTCATTTCCTGTTCAATCTGAGAACAGGACACTTAGTCACTGCACTGAGCAGCACACACACACACAAACACACACACACACGCACACACACGCACACACACACACACACACACACACACACACACACCACACACGCACACGCACGCACGCCCACACACACGCACAAACACGCACACACACACACAAGCACAAACACGCACACACACGCACACACACACGCACGCACGTACGCACGCACGCACGCCCACACACACACACAAACACACACACACACACACACACACAAACACACACACACGCACACGCACGCACGCACGCCCACACACACGAACAAACACGCACACACACACAAACACACGCACAAACACACACACACACGCACACACACACGCACGCACGCACGCACGCCCACACACACACAAACACACGCACACACACACACGCACGCACGCCCACACACACGCACAAACACGCACACACACACACACACGCACGCCCACACACACGCACAAACACGCACACACACACACAAACACACGCACAAACACGCACACACACACGCACAAACACGCACACACACACGCGCAAGCACACACACACACACACACACATGAATGCACTGCAAAGCAACGATCAGCCTCATCAAACCCGATCTGAGCCAATCGGAAGCTGAGAAGTTCCACCTGAGCAGGTAACTGCTCCACTTCTTCACCATCACATTCCTCGTCTTCATCTTCTACACACAGGAAATCTGACCTGACCTCCGTGACCCAAAGCGACCCACTGACCTTCAGAGTCGGTCTGAGAACACGCAGCAGGTCAAAACCAAATCTGCAGATGAGAAATCATTTGTGATTCCAGAACAAACTGCTGCTGATTCTTTAACCATCAGCCAATAACCAGCCTGAGGTCAAGATTTAAAGAGACACCAACCGTTTATCTAATGGCGCTTGAGAGAAGAAACAATCCTTTCTCCAGTTTCCTACTTTAGGCCCCGCCCAGTTCCCCTCTGGCCCCGCCCAGTTCCCTTCTGGCCCCGCCTACCTTCGCAGCTGCTGTGGCCCTCCTCATATCCGGCGCTGCAGCTGCACTTCCCGATGGGCACCAGCCACTCCCCCTCGGCGCTGCAATGCATCCTGGGAGGGCTGTCGCTGTCCACCTCCGAGTTGTTGACGCAGCCGCCGCGGACCTCCACCAGCGTGGCGAAGGCGGCCTCGGCCACCGTGTCGGGGAACACGGCCAGATTCTGCACGGTGGCCAGGCAGCGCTTGTAGTACACGCGGACGGCCACCAGGGCGACGCACGCGCCCACGTCCTGGAAGGCCAGGTGGAAGCCCTTCCGGTTGAGGTGTCCGATCTCCCGCACCTCCGTGTTGAGCTTCATCTTCCTCTCCCCCAGGTCTCCCTGCGTGAAACTCTCGTCGGCGGCGATGGTGTCTATCTTGGAGTAGCGGTCCTCCCGGGTCACGGCGCCCAGGTCCCGGTCCGACTCCACGTACAGCAGGTTGAACGTCTCCTTGCAGGTTCCGGCCACGCCGGGGATGCTGTTGCAGTCGCGCAGCGTGAACTGCAGCTCCACGAAGATGCGCTGTCCGCCGCGGCGCGCCACCCAGCCCGTCTGCAGCCAGTTGTTCTGCTGCGTGGGCTCCATCACGTTACACACCTGGTAGGTCCGAATCGGCTTGTACTTCTCATCCACGCCGCTGATCTCCTCCCACTGGCAGGAAGACACGAGCAGCAGCCATGTTAGCACAGCGTGAGCTGATCATCATCATCATCATCATCATCATTATCATCATCATCGTTATCGTCATCATCTTTATCATCATCATTATCATCGTCATCATTATTATCATCATCATTATCATCATCGTTATCATCATTATCATCATCATCATTATCATCATCATTATCATCATTATCATCATCATTATCATCATTCATTATCATCATCATCATCATCGTTATCATCATTATCATCATCATTATCATCGTTATCATCATCATTATCATCATCATCATTATTAGCATCATCATTATCATCATTATCATCATCATTATCATCATCATCGTTATCATCATCATCATCATCATCATCATTATCATCGTTATCATCATCATATCATCATCATCGTTATCATTATCATCATCATCATTAGCATCATCATTATCATCGTTATCATCATTATTATCATCATTGTCATCATCATTATCATCATCATTAGCATAATCATTATCATAGTTATCATCATCATTAGCATCATCATTATTATCGTTATCATCATCATTATCATCATCATCATCATTATCATCATTATCATCATCATTATCATCATCATCATCGTTATCATCATCATCATTATCGTCGTTATCATGTTACAATAAAAACGTAAACCAGAAATTTCTTATCATATTATTCCTACATTTATAAACGTCACAGTTCCAAACTAAATATTTAATTTCTAACTAAATTAAAGAAGGTAAATATTTTGATTGTGCTAAATATTTAGACTGATAGATAAATGCTTAGCTATGGTAGCTAAGCATTTAGGATGCTAATGAAGCATTAGCTCATAACAAACAGGCTAAAAACAACTAATTATTGCCGTTAATCTTTAACTTTGTACCATCTTCCTACGAAGATGTGTGAAAGTCTCATCATCCTCATCATCCTCAGCGCTGAGTCACTGTCATCTGCTAAGTTTCGTCCTGCTGAAATGTCTGGAAGGATCTTCAAACCTCCAAACAGAGAATGTGTCATCTGACGCAGAAACAGTCAGAATCTAAATTTGTTTCCAGTTTTGATTCACGCTGATCTGAAGACGCTTTTCTTTGTTTCTCTGCTGAATGTGAGTCACTGAGCTGATCTGGATCTGATCCATCTGATCCTCACTCCAACAACACGGCTTCATTTAATGAACACATAAAACCCTATCCATCATAAAACTCCTAAAAATGTAGAAATATTAAACATGACTTTATGTTTCTGTAAACATCAATGAGTTCATAAAACAGTGTTGCCAGGATTTTTACTCGCTCCGTCTGCTCCTGTGGGAGAAACAGAAAATCTCTGGCGTTCAGGACGAATCTGAAAATCTGAAATGATCTGAGGGATTAGAAATGTTCTGCTGCGAAGCAGCAGGACGTTGAAATGGATCCGTTCTGCCGAGCTCGGCCCGCTTCGTTTGGGTTCGACAGCAATGAAAGCTTTTCATGAAGTTTCAGCAGCGCAGAGCAAAAACATCAGAACAAAAAGGCTCCATCTGGAACTGAACAGAACATTCACTGCATGTGGATCTGTGGCACAAACGAAGCCGCCGCCATGACACCTGATGAGGTTCTGGTTCTGGTTCCATGTGGTCCAGAACAACAACAGCCGTCCGGCAGCCAAAGGCAGCTGGGAGGCTGCTGGCACAAACAGCTGCTGCTCATTTATTACACACACTGTGTGTGTGTGTGTGTGTGTGTGTGTGTGTGTGTGTGTGTGTGTGTGTGTGTGTGTGTGTGTGTGTGCGCGCTGGTCAGGTGGGAGTGTGTGACAAACGGTTCTGGCAGGGAGCCATTCTTTTAAAAAGCCCATTTGTCTTCCAGCCATAACTTATCGCAAACGATATCGATCGACACGGAGGAGAGCATTTATCTGCTGCCGCCGGACCCGCCTCAGGCCGCCGGACCCGCCCGCCGCAGGCCGCCGGACCCGCCCGCCGCGGGCCGCCGGACCCGCCCGCCGCCTGGATTCCAGCCGCTGTTACTATAGAAGATAAACTCTCAGCTGCAAAGAGACGGGAAAACGGCCAAAACAAGCCGACTTACTCCGTTTGGGGGAAGGAGGTCCAGCCCAGTTCTGCCTGCGTCTCCTTGGAGTTCAGCAGCACAACTGCAGCAACACAGAGAACAAGAAGAAGGTCAGAGGTCAACAATCAGGAAGGGAGGCGTGTCTTCATCTGCAGCAGGTCAGAATAACCAGCTGGGCTGAAATAAACGGGTCAGAGCGGATCAGAACCTTTAGGAGAAACAGAAACACATCTTCACCTTCAGAACCGTGAGAACCGATTCAGAACCACGGACAGAACCATCAGAACCGATTCAGAACCACGGACAGAACCATCAGAACCGATTCAGAACCACGGACAGAACCGTGAGAACCGATTCAGAACCACGGACAGAGAAACAGGAACAAAACAGTGGAGCGGTTTCAGAGCATAGAGATGATTTATCTCTGGACATCTGGACCAGAACCAGCTGAACCTGGTTGACCCAAACAGGCAAAGCTGCTCAACCTTTCAGAACCTTTCAGAACCTTTCAGAACCAGCGATCAGAACCTCTCCCAAAGCAAGAGACAATGTAACAATGACGGTTTCTCAGGTTCCCAAACATCCAGAACTGGAATTAGATTTGGCCCAGATGGCGGCGCGTGTGGACGCTGCGGCTCGGAGCGCCCGTGTTTTCGGTTTCGTTAATCTGTTTTTATTGAGTCTTCGCTCAACACATTACTGGAAACCTGGACAACTGATAGCTGAGCAGAACTGTGGGACATGGGAGCACAGTTTGGACTCCTCACACCCACCAGGCTGGACTTTATTCCTCCAGAGCAGCAGGGACCATGATCATCCCCTGCTGCCAAGGCGACGGAGGAGGCAGCGCAAACAGAGCCGCCGTCTGCTAGGCTTCATCAACAACAACCCCCGAAGCATGTGGAGAGGCATCAGGACACAGCACTCAGCTGACCAGCCGCGACCCCAACCTGCCTGACACCTTAAACAGCTTCTTTCCTGCTTTGACACAGCGGGCTGCACATCTACCCCGACTGGAAGAGCAGTACCAGCCTCTCGTCCTGCAGCAGCACCAGGTGACGTCCACCCTGAGGAGGATCAACACCCACAAAGCTACCGGACCGGACAAGGTGTCAGGCCAGACGCTGAAAACGTGCGCCGACCAGCTGGCCGGAGTGTTTCTGGACATTTTCAATCTGTCCCTGCAGTTCACCATGGTTCCTGAGTGTCTCAAGTCTTCCACCATCATCCCTGTACCGAAGAAGACGACCATCACCAGCCTGAACGATTACCGGCCCATCGCTCTGACCCCGGTGATCATGAAGTGCTTTGAGAGGATTCTTCTGAGGTACATCAGACACTTCATCCCTGCAGACCTGGACAGCCTTCAGTTCGCCTACAGAGCGAACCGGTCAACAGAGGATGCTGTCTCCATCACTCTGCACACAGCCCTGTCCCATCTGCAGCATCCCAACACCTACGTCAGGATGCTATTTGTAGACTTCAGCTCAGCATTTAACACCGTCATCCCAGACAAGCTGGTGCTGAAGCTACTCAAGGTGGGGCTGCCTGCTTCACTGTGCCACTGGATCAGAGACTTCCTCACCAACAGGCCTCAGGTGGTGAGAATAGGTGGCTCAACATCGTCCCCACTGGTCCTCAACACAGGCACACCGCAGGGCTGTGTTCTCAGCCCAGCTCTCTTCACCCTGTTCACACACGACTGCGTTGCCATCCACCCCACCAACACAGTCGTCAAGTTTGCGGACGACACAACAGTAGTGGGTCTCATTTCAGACAACAACGAGACCCACTACAGAGAGGAGATTCTGCAGCTCACTCAGTGGTGTTCAGCCAATAACTTGCTGCTGAACACAGGGAAGACCAAGGAGGTCATTGTGGACTACAGAAGGTCCAGGAGGACGGGTCACTCTCCCCTTCTCATAGATGGAGAAGAGGTGGAGCGTGTGGACAACATCAAGTTCCTGGGCCTCCACATCACGTCTGACCTCTCCTGGAATACCAACACCTCCCACCTGGTGAAGAAAGCACAACAAAGGCTCTTCTTCCTCAGGAAACTGAGACGGACTGGACTTTCCTCACGGCTGCTCGTGAACTTTTACAGGGCGACGATCGAGAGCGTCCTCTGCCTCAACGTGACTGTGTGGTATGGTGGCTGCACAGCACTGGAGAGGAAACAACTGACACGGGTGGTGAGAACGGCACAAGGCATTGTGGGATGCCCCCTCCCGGACCTGGACTCTATTTACATAGGCCGGGTCAAGAAGAGAGCTGGATCCATAGCCATGGATTCCAGCCACCCGGGCCACAGACTGTTTGTGCCGCTGCCATCAGGCCAGCGGTTCAGGAATATACGGACTACAACAAACCGTCGGGTGGATTATTCCTCCACCGGGGAGCATAAAGAAAACCTGATGTGTGTGTGTGTGTGTGTGTGTGTGTGTGTGCCCTAACCCTAACCAGAGAACGGCTCCAGTTCTGATGTGGGTCAGTGGGCCGAGGGCGGAGCCAGGAGGAACGCCACCTGGCGGATAACAGAGTGACGATCAGCAGAAACCCGGAGAGACAACAGGAGGAAAGGATGAGACGGAGGAACAAACGTGACTCCAGAGGATCAGAGCGAACACAGTCGGCTGTAATCAGGTTCTCTTTAAACTGTAATGGGAGAAACAGGCGGGGGAGGGGCGAGGGGAGCCAGAGGAAAGACAGAGAAGCTCTCTTTTCTTCTTCTCCTCTTTACACAGATCCTCTTAATGAGCTCTCATCATCATCATCTCAAAGCTTTTCACTCATAATTTCCCTCATTACAGAAACAAAACGGCCAGAGAATGTGCAGTGCAGCCGGCGGCCAGCAGGGGCGCTACAGGCTGGTTCACACTGTGTTACTGGTTTATCTGGTTTTACTGGTTTATCTGAACTGGTTGGAACGTCTTGTGATTCTAGTTTGACTTCATGAAAACCAGAAACATTTTCTCTGAGGTTTCGGACGAAACTCGTCATTTACGTCCCGATTTCCCGCCACCGCTTACCCTCATGGTAACCATGGGAACCTTCACTTCCTGTCGCACAGACAAGGCCGGCTCTTAAATCCTTTTACATGTAAAAATGCAGAAAACCAAAGCAGCAGCTCTCATCAGGAACTTTTAAAAATGCATAAACAATAAAGATATTTCTTCTGACTTCTGCAGAGACAGAAGAAAATTCAAGGTCACTTTCAGAGAAAACTTTGTTCTTTGGGTTGGAAATGAGACCTTCAAGAAGGTTTTGATGTGGCAGAAAGCATTAAAGCAGGAGGATGTCCTTCAAACGGAGTGTGTGAGGATGTGAGCGGCTCAGAAAGCTTTTCACCTGTTTTCTTCTCCGTTTGATGTGGCTGATTTTATTTAGAGTGGATCCGCCGTCCAGGTCCAGGCAACTCGTTCGCCGTCCTCTGGAGCTTCAGAAGGTCAGAGAAGTGAGTCTGGCCTCAGGTTCTCCTTTCTACAGGTTTCACTCTGGAAGTTTAAAGGTTTGAGCTGCCATGGAGGCTGAGAGGACTGAAACGATTAATCCGATTAATCGTTTCAGACACACACATCTGCCCTGAGGTTCTCCGTCACTAACGACCTCCGGTGCGCCGCTAAAGCTCCACTGTGTGGCGTACAGGTGCAGCCTTCCAAAAACATCAAACCAAAAACTCAAAAAACATAAATAAATGTTTATGATTAAGCGATCATTTAAATAATCGTCAGCTAATTTAATAATCGATTAATCATTAACTGGAGTACATGGACTCTAATACAGCAATTTGCTGACAGAACAAAAACCTTCATATTTTACATTTCAGATGATAAAATGTCTCTGTACACACACACACACACACACACCACACACACACACACACACACACTCAAACACACACACACACATACACACACACACACACACACACACACGCACACACACACACACACACACACACACACACACGCACGCACGCACACACACACACACACACACACACACTCAAACACACACGCACACACACACACGCACGCACACACACGCACACACACACTCACACACACACACACACACACACACACACACACACACACACGCACACACACACACACACACACACACACACACACACACGCACGCACACACACACACACACACACACACTCAAACACACATGCACACACACACGCACGCACACACACGCACACACACACTCACACACACACACACACGCACGCACGCACACACACACATACACACACACACACACACACGCACGCACACACACACGCACACACACACACACACACTCAAACACACACATGCACACACACACACGCACGCACACACACACACACGCACGCACGCACACACACACACACACACTCAAACACACACACACACACACACGCACGCACACACACGCACACACACACGCACACACACACACGCACGCACGCACACACACACATACACACACACACACACACGCACACACACACATACACACACACACACACACACACACGCACGCACACACACACACACGCACGCACGCACACACACACACACACTCAAACACACACATGCACACACACACACGCACGCACACACACGCACACACACACTCACACACACACACGCACGCACGCACACACACACACACACACACACACACTCAAACACACACACACACACACGCACACACACACTCACACACACACAGACAGAATCAGATATAAAACTTTCAGTTTCTCCATCTTTCTCTTCCTGAATTAATGATAATTGTTTTATTTCATACATCATCATAATGATTTTGAATATTTCCTCTATTGATTAAACATCAACATTTATTAAAAATCAACGTTTATTCCGGGTCGGATTCCCGTTCTCCTCCCGCCAGGCTCAGTTTTCCTGGTTTTCCCGACTGGAGCAGAATGTGAATGACCAGCTGTGGAGACGAGGAAGAAAGGATTCATTCAGCCAATCAGAGAAGAGAACCTGACAGTTAATCGATCAGTTTTAATCAATT